AAGGGTCCAGGCAAGAAGTGGCACAGGTAAGGAAGGCAGAAGTGTGTCTGACACTTACTGTGGATGCTGGAACCTAGCATTGTTGAGTCTTGAGTCTCACCATTGCTCTTCATGCTGGAGCAGTAAACCTGCACCACACTAATAATTCAATTAGTTAATTAGCAGAGGCGTGTACCTGGAAATTAAAAGTTTTAAGCTTGCTTATAACGGACACATTTTGGAGACCTTATCTTATGCAACAGAAACTGGGGGGGAGCCCAGGGCAAGGACAAGGGAGGAAGGAGGTCGTGGAAGACCTGTGGAAGCACATACAGACAGCTCACTTTACACAGCCTTCCAGCTGAAAAGTCGACAGTTACAGAAACAGTAGAATTAACTAGTGTGCGGTTGTGGTTATTTTTCATCAGTTAACCTGGATATGCAAAATAGCTACACTGGAAAAATAGACAGCAAAGTTTAACAGAGACATGTCATTTTTGGTTTCATTCACACTCTTTTTCCCCCCGATACCCTTGATACTCCTGTAAATGCAGGATCTGTATTTATATCCAAAAAACTTCGTAACAAGAGCTTTATTAACACATTTGTTATCCTTCTATATAATAGGATAATGATGACCAGCTGGCTACAGATAATGACAGGCACTAATTTATATTGGATTACTACCTTGATATTCTGTAGGCTGTCACTTTTTTTTTTTTTTTCCATTTTTAGCATTCTTGCCCAGTTTTGTGCTTGCATTTTATGATGCTCACATTTACTATTCTTGCATGCTAGGAAAGGAATGAGCATTTTAAAAGCTTTATGTTTAATTCCACTTTCAACTATTAATTAGTCATGTAAACAAATTAAATGGACATTTAATTAAATGCTACCCTTTTAAAAGGGTAAACTGGAAGCAGAGGCCATCAACTTAAAACTAATATTGTGTGCATTTATCTTAATTTCAGGTAGTGGTAAGGATTCATGTACTTCAGCTGTTGTATTCATAATCAGATACATGAGCATTTATGTCTTTGTAGCATACAGAAAATCAGTTAAGATGTGAGCTCTCTTCTGCTAGGTACTGTACACACAAAACCTGAAGTGTATCTGCAAGACTTACTTCCTTTCTTTGTCACCTTTAAAAGAAAATCTTGCGATAGCCTCTTCAGCTTTTGCAGGTGTGAACTGACCATTCTGGTGACAATTTGAAACATGATCCAAAGATTTCCCCGACCTCATCATTTTATATTTATAGCTCAGAGATTTCTCTCCTATAGAGCGAGTTTTCAGTATTTTGAGATGGGGATTTTTCATTATAGCACATTAAGGTTCTAGTCTGAGTGAATGAGACCGATCCAGTAAATATCAAGCCCACAAATGCCCAAAAGAACTCATCTGATTTTGAAAGCAGTTATTTCAGTGGTCAGAGAAAATAATTTGGGAGTAGTCTGGAGCACCTAATCTGGTTGTGCAGCAAACAGTTGGCTATTTGGTATCTTTCCAACAAACACACAAACTAGGTCTACTGATTAATTCTGCTTCTGTGATAAGCTAATGTTTCTGTTACTGTTCATCTCTGCTTATTTATGGGTGCTGGGGAGTAAAATGCACAGCAATATTCTACTCCTCAGACATCTCATTCTACAGATGAGTTTATAACCTCATGTTTGGAGAACTTATTTTTATAATGGTTGCTACAGACTCATTCATGTTCTGTAAATTTCTTTACTTGTATTTGAATATAAAAGACTAACCTTCTACACTTCTACCACAAGTACTTCTTTTTCCCTTTTGCATTTAATGCAACATTGTGTGTCAGAACTACCACGAGCATAAGGAACACTTAAAGATTTACTTGTATATACATAAGAAATCAGCAAACTAATAAATCAGTCTGTTCTGGCATTTCTAAGAGCCTTCCTTACCCATTAAAATATAGTGAAGGGGACAGAAAAAGACTCAGCACAAAAAAAGGCATGTAAGGCCAAAAAATTCATGTTACCAAGTTAGCAAGACACTGTTATGTTCATTTTGCACATGAGTTTAATGTTATGTCCATTTACTTTGAATTTTTTTTTTCCAAGAGCTGCATTATTGAGTTTTCCAAAACAAATATAATTTGTTATTCAGAGCTTTGATGGAAACAGAAAGCTCCAGCTATAGGATCTGCATAGGTTTCTCATGCTTTTCTAAAGTCCAGGACTAGCAGGGGTCTATTTCTAAGATAGATTGAATTTTGAGTTATATTGTAAATTATTTTCTCATCTGTTCAGTCACATTTGGCAGTAGTTACTGTTATGACTGAGATAGTTTATATTTAATTTCCTTTTGTCTTTATATGTTTAGGCAATACTGTTAAAAATATAGTTTATGTCTCCTGAAACAGCCTTGGTATTCTTGTTTCTCTAGTTTACCTGAAATAACCAGAATTCCAAGTACTTAGCTCAGCCACTGAATTTCTAGCATATGCACCCTCCAGAATCAGTTGTGATCAACATTTTGAGAGATGTTTTTATTTCACTTGATATTTGGTATAATTTTTTAAAGACTTTTTTCAAATCAGTTTTTATTTAACGGATGTTGTTAATTGTATCAAAACATTTGAAAAGTCAGGATTAAGAGAGAATTGAAAACAATTCTGTTTACAACACAGACGATTTGCAGTTCCAGAGCCTCAGGCCTCGCCTGTGCAGTTTATGACCAATACAAACAATCCCAGGTGACTGCAATCAAACAGCTAAACTAGCTGAAGTCATAGTGAACATTCACACGCAGTTGCTTGTGGTATCAGTTGAACAGTATATTCGTGTCTTAACCAGTGTTAACTTAACTCAACAGTATTTTGCAATGGTATCCAGGTTGACAGTGGGATTAACTTCAGTAAAACAAATTGCGTTTGAACAGTAAAAAACACCCCCTGCAAATGACATCTGATCTATGTGCTCTTTTGACAGTGGAAATGTGAAGGGAAGAGAAGAAAGGATTGTAGCAGTCTCCTATTAGCACCATTTTCCCACTTTCTGGGAAACTTTTCCCTCACTGCACTGAGCGGGCAAGCAGCAGGAAGGCAAGAGCCGGTGCTGTGCCACTCCCCAGGGACACGAGGTGCTGCAAGCTTCCATCCCTGTGTTAGTGATGCCCTGCAACTAGGGCAGCTGCGTTGTGGCACTCAGCTCTGGCCATCTTGTCTGTATGGAGACAGGAAGGTGTCAACTTGCTTATTCATTCCTGTTGGGCCTTCTCAAACACCTCACTGGTAATGCTGCCAGGCTTTAAAATTAGGAGAAATTATTTCTTCCTTTTACAGGACTTTTTAGTATCCACAGGTTAGGTACTTTAGAAAGCATAAGGTACTAGCGTTACAAACAAAAAAAGCAAAGTTGACCATCAAGTACCTAGGTGGTCTTTTACAGACTGTTGCATTTTATTTTTGTTCTGACATCATTTCCAGATGCTAATGGGGAAAATGTTAATGTTGATTAATTCTTGGGGAAATTACATATAGTGAATCTAGAATCTTCTTTTTAACAGCATCTACTTGGTGCCAGGGGAGAAAAGATGGGAGTCCATTTTAAGACTTTCACAATGCTTTAGGTTTACAGGAAAGCTTTCCTACTGTACTGCAAATGCTTATTCTAGCAGAATTGTATTTAACAAAGGTATCCCAACATGCATCTCTTCCACACAAAAAGAAGAAAGAGGAAATGATGAAAAAAAGGAAATTAAAAAAAATATGGACTTGGCAATCTGAAAATATATGCAAACAGGACAGCGGAAGTATGGTAAAGGGAAGATGAAAAGGGGGAAAACACCATTTTTACTCTCTCTAAAAGAAGTGATAAACTTGTAGTAAGTCTCATTCAGAAAAGGGGAGAGAAGTGTTGATGGATGCTCAAAGGCTGGATTTAGAATTATTACTCGAGTAAGTTAGAATTGAGAATGTGTACTGTGGAAGGCACCAGGCCACCTCTTCCACAGCTACTGCTAAAGACATACTAAAACAACCTACTTACATAGCAGAGTCATCTCCTGTGTTTGGCCAGACCACATTAGAGATTTGCCTGTGGTAGAAGTGCTGGCATATTAGAACCCGTACATGCATGCTGACAAGTCTTCTACAATGTGAACTAGATCTCAACATAATAATTTGCTTTTCTAAGGTTACAAAGGACAGTTGTCATGTGTCAGAAATGATGCAGTACACAGCAGCCATACTGACTGACCATACACCACATTCAGTTAAACATCGTAACATTTTTTATATATATATATACACACACATACTATCTCCGTTTGCTTTTGTCTTTGATGTGCTTTTCCCAGTGATATTTAGAGGTGAAAAAACTCAAGGTTCTACGAAGTCTGCTTGTTACTTGATGTTTTTGGCTTAAACAGTTGTGGACTAGAAATTGCATGAAGATTTCACCACTCTCTGTGTATGCCTTGAAGATTGTACACTTCCATTTTGTTTGCACCAACGGAGAGAAAAATTGTAGAGAATGTGAAAATTTCCATTTCAAGCTTAAGCTACAGACTCCCCCCCCCCCCCCCCCCCTCTTTCTTTTTTT